TATCATATAAAGAGCGGCTTGAAAAACTGAACCTCTTTACTCTGTCCTATCGCAGACTAAGGGGAGATCTAATATTGATGTACAGAATACTGAGAAATGATTTCGGACCTAACTTATTCTCTCTCTTTCTTCCCACTAGATCGGGACACCTCAAAGGACATAGCAGGCGAGTAGAAAAGCCAAGAACGAACAAAATACCCGTGGCATACAGGTTTTCACACCGAGTCATCAATACTTGGAACCTGCTGCCTGAAGCAGTGGTATCCGCACCTTCAATTGACTCTTTCAAGAGAAGACTGGACACTCACAGAAGCATACTAGAAAAGGAATAACATAGGCCGTAGGCCTTCTGTCCTTACTACACAAATCTGAATCTGAATCTAATATTTTTAGTGAATTCGGTAGATATTAGGATATCGATATATTTTGAGTTTAAGCTAATGCGTATTTCTTGAGTAAGTAAAGTCGTAAAGGAGCAAGGATCTCAAACAACTGGAAAAATATTTCAAATAAGATAGACCAGCAGTGAGAAATATGTGATTGTGCCTGTTCTTCCTCCCTTTGACTGGCGACTAATCAGTTATCTGCTTGTGAATCTCAAGTTTTTTTCAAATACAGCTTTTTTGATCTTATAACTTGAATATTTTACTGTTATTATGCTATCAGGTCATCTATTTCTTCTACTGGGCAGTTCTTTGTTCAGACATTGCCATATCAGACATTAGCTGGATCGAGTGTACTTGTATAAAACTGGTTTGTGCTTCATAACGAACCTCCAAAATTTCGTTTAGGCAGTGAGGTGTACTGGACAGTATGGTCGATACTTGTCAATACTTGCAGGTTTACTCAAACTTAGATTGTTCAAACCCTCCAGTTTGTATCATTTAGATTCTGCTTAACTGAGTTTCGGAAAGATTTTGAGAAGAGCTACTACTCCTGGTTACTTTTGATCGGAGATTAACGAATTTTGGAATGACAGCAAGTCTATACTGAGTGAGCCGAACAGTCAGAAAAAAATGTTCGATAGATTTAAATATAGTGTTTGAGACATTTAACTACAATATATAAAGGTAAGAAATGCGGATGTTAGTGTGGTTTTTCGGAGGTCGAATCTCATTATAATCACGTACTGATCTGAACTGGAACACCACTGTGAACCAAGGAGCACTGTATAGCCTCTTCTTCCTAGCATAGTACTCCTTACCAGTGCGCGTCTACCACACCACGATTAAGAATCGAAAACAAGACTTGTCTAGTGCACAAACGCTTAAACTCTAAACCAGTGAGCAGAGACTCAACAGTGTGCAGTCTATACTCAATCTATAATAGTGAACTACCATCTTCATTGTCTGCGGTAGGTACAGTCTCCACAACTGACACAGTTTGGCTTCATAGGCCACGGCTTCTCACTAGAAATCTGATAGTCTTTTTGAAGCTAAGCACTTTGGAGTGCATGATAAATGTCAGTATGAGGTTGTGGAGGTTGTTAAATTTTGTTGAAATCGCAAAGCCGTGTTTAATGTGTCTTATAGAGAACCTACATACCAGGACGACACAGCCATCTAGTGCCTCCAGGTTTCCGATGATTGTCTAACTTAGATCGATCCGAGAATTCAATAAAAAATACCGTTCTCAAAGAAGTAAAGTCTACATATTTCACTTTATTGAATAACCGAATGTGTTTGCATCACACCTAATTTTTCACTTGCTATTTAAGATAAAGTGTGGTGGACCTTTATGAAGCATGAGCGGTTTAGCTGACAGCTTTAATGAAGTCCGCGGAATAATTTTAACTTTTATAGCTGTATCTGCACGATATATGCTTTGGTTTTTCAATGATGGACTGAGCAGCTCGACATTTCATTCACTAGTTTTCGCAAGTCTAGATTTATTACCCGAATTTTGCAGAATGCTAATTCTGGAAATACAGGTGGTCCTGTGGTCGTTATGTGATGTGTAACATAGCTGATTACACATGGTAATTTCTGTCGCATTTGATATAGATCGAGAGACATGACGAGTATTTGCTGATAGTATTGATAGATCATGTGAGTTAGTGTGACTGGGTGGTAATCTAAAACCGGAAAAAGTCATGCAAAAGGATATTTAAACACTAACGCCTAATAACCTCCATTTGCTCATGTTGTCGAATAGATTACGGTATTGTTGCAGGTCTATACCAATAATTGACATGGAAACATCTGCAACAACGAAAATTCAATGATTGGGTTTGCGAAAAAGCAACAAACTCTCGTCATTTCACCAGTGATGTATAACAGGTTGCTATGTTCGCCGGTTATAAATTGTCCCGTTAAGCTGACACATCTGACCGTTTGAACGTCCAGCGCTTGTTGACGGTAGGATGTCTTCACTCAGTTTTTCTGATAAAGCTGAAGGCTGAGAGCTTGATCGCTTTCCCCTAGGAGAGTCAGAAGTGAGTTGTCAACTACAAATTTTTCGTTTGTAGATACGCAGTCTACGCTTGACAGCGCATGATTGTTTCTCCAACGAGTCGCTGACGTGACACTTTCGAAGAATCAAGCCTCAGTAGGGTTGTCACCTCCAATGTACTTAAGTTCCACGAAATTGACTTTAGAAGTGCTGTTCCCCTAGAATCAGAATATGAGTGAATCTGGGTCGAGTATGACGGGGCAGTACTTCCAGCATATGATTGTCGTACTCCATGTTAGTAGTAGGCTTCCTGTAGATGACTCCGATCAGACACCTCGAGGTGGTTGACAATCTTACTGAGCGCCACGCAGATTCATGAAGATTGATAAACTCGTGGTTGTGCACTTGATGTATTTCCAATCAGGGTTGCAAATAAAAGTATACTCAACGTTACATTCATGTTTTTCTGTCGTTGCGAAGTAAAGACATCCCGGGTGTTACTAGCTACTAGTCTGTGTATTGGGAAAATATCCATGTTTCAGATATTCTTATCACATGAGCATTGTTAGTATTACTGAGTTCATGAAGCTTATCCTTTTTATCGATAAACTCGTGGCGTTCATATATTAGCAGTTTATGCTTTCAACTTGAAACGTATGATCTTACATATCCCATTTACATGTATGAGCACTATGTGAATGGACAGGTAACCCACCTACACAAGTTTTTCGAGTTGGTAACCTTTGTCCTTTCTACGTTCTTTCATGGTCTTGACGGTCCACAAATGGAATAGTCAGCTCTAACTCGCTAACATCATGAGTTTTTTCCGAATACATATGGGTTCCAGTTGGCAACCGGCGTCTGTTGACACGAAATACTTCGAGGGTTGCAGGCGCCATATGATAAGATATGAAGGTCATCTTTATCAGCCTATGTCTAGAATCCTTGTTCCTATTGGCTGGTCTTACCACTTGTTGGTTTGATGTTTTTCAGCCTCAAGGACAGCTTGATGAATTTTCACTCTCTAATATCAGAGACTATTTGGTCAGGGTCCGTGTTTCATGGCACATAATGCACAGTTATATTTCTTCCGCAATAAAAATCTTGTGCGATTCCTTAAGAATGTTCTTGATGAGATTGGGCTCAGAGTACGGCATATTAGGCAATATTCATTCGTCCCCGTCTGATTATAGAAAATGTTTAGTCAGCAGAACATCCTCTTCGTCTTCAGTGTTAGTGAACGCTACACGAAGGAATCTTGGGAGGTTTCAGCGCCTGTAGTCGTTCAACTGAGTGAGCCGTGTAACCGTTAGAGGCTCTATTTTGGGAAGTTTGAGCTAACTACTTAAATTTCCAAAGAGCAACTTGTCATTTTTGTCCTGCAGAGTGGAATGAAAGTCAGGACTGTCTTTACTTTCATGCCTGTGACAGAATAACCGCGAAACGTGATCATTATCCCAGGTTTTCGGATACGTTCAGGTTGAGGACAGTTTTATTTGGTAGTTGAAATGCGTCTCACATTCTCGTGCTTCTTGCTGACTGGCTGAATTATGTTAGCGGTAAACTGTACAGTCAAATCACCAGTCGATTACACTACACCTCCTGGGATGTTCTGTTTCTTGGACGGTGACACCCTATCCTTTTTAACTTTGTTGGCGGTGTTTCAGTCGCCTACAGAGTTTTTAGGGACCACCATTGCATTTGGGGATCCTATACTGGGAGACGCAAGATTCTGAGGCAGCCTAGTGCCATAGAAGTTATGACAGTGCTGAGTCTCAGCATGTCCTTACTAGTATCGATGCACGTCCTTTCGATACTAAAATTGTTGAGGTCCCTGTTCATTTCCTCACTGAGCGTCTTCGTTTGCCCGTTTAAGGCATACCTTTCTTCATGTTTGCTGACAACTTTTTCAGCAGACCTGTCGGGAGAATGATGTAGCTCAGCAAATCCTCAGTATTCATATTCCACGTGTCATATACTCACCTACGATCCGACTTACCAATTCCGTTGTAAGCAGTTACTTCATGATCTGTACATGCTTCGTGGAAACAACATTTGCATTTGTCACACTGTTTGCCAGAAGTTACAGCAAAACAGCGTCCGGATCGCTTGCATGAATTATACATTAATGTGGTGATACGACTTCTTTGATAGATCTTAGCAAAAGTTTACGACCGTTAAACAAAAGGAACAATACACTCACAACGGATAAAATGGATAAAAAACGAGTGATACAAAAGGCTAGGATACACTAAAACTAACTTTGACGTGAAAGGCTGAAAAACCGGGTATAAGGCTGAGGCAGGATCACAGTCAACTATTTACTTAGGTAAAACTCAAAAAGAAAGAGAATCTACCGAACGTTAAGCTCAGGATGGATTCGTTGGATGAAAATAGTACTCTTGTTGAGTAAGAATACAATGAAAGCTCGAGAAACGAAATCATGTTTAGACGAAACTTTCCGTTCGTAATGCGATGAGCTATAAAAACCTGTTTGATTGGCGCTAGTTTGTAATAATGTTATTGGATATTGGACTTAACTTCGTTTGTGACATAAGAGTTGTCCTACACCCAATGCGGACTAGGTATTAGCTGTGAGGTATTTTGAAATGAAGGTCGTTGGTGTCTGGATGAGTGATTCTAAAGTAGACAGCATCGGGCTTAATACTCTTTTACGCGAGAAGAGGTAAATGGCTATTTAGTGTATGATCTGAGTTAGCGCAGAAGTGATCTTCTATTTAGAAAGGTTTTATTTGCCAATTTTTGTCTAAAAAGTGAAAACGTAGATCAATCCGTGTATTAGTGTATCGGAACAAGGACCGTTTGACGTAATCCTTCACAAAATACCGGAATTTTTGAGCGGGGATTCCAGTAAACAAAGTCGAAAAATTATAGAAAATTTTTTCGTAAATAAACAGTTACTTGTTTTACTAATTTTCCATAGAACTATGCAAAAAGTAATCCTCATGTTCTGTTCATAGACTCACCAATATCACTCAAGTGTTTGTTAACACGTCTTAATCAGTTTTCTTTGCTCCGAGACATTGTAGCGATGTCGGATATAAGTAAGTATCGTAATTTTCACTTGTTTGAATTATTATGATTTGTGTGGAGCAGATGAGGAGTATAATAAAGTCTCATGAACTTGTTTATATATATATTTGAGTCAAAGTCGGTGTTTACAATTTTCTTGTGCCAGTGGAAAATTGACCTTTAAATGGTACCTGGGTTTCTTTGCTGACCACCTATATCACATACCTATCAAATTTTTAAAAAAAGTACTAGGAGATTTAAAAACATTCGTCCTAATGACCACTAATTTATGTATGAATCTCAGGTATATCCTGTTGCACACTTATTTAAGTTCTCACAATTCACCGTTATTAATCACGAATGCTTTCGTAAGAACTTACACCACACCATATTTGAGGATATTGGCTTTCTGTTGTACAACACGTTTTTTTAAAAGTTGTGTTGCAATACTTCTTGTGATATTTAACAAACAAACGGATTTATATCGATAATGCTGGGCACTGCTCTATGTAATTAATTTAGGCAATCGAGTAATATCATAGCCTCCCAATAGTGTCTGAAATCCTATTATAACAATCCATATATGGTGCAAAAGTTCCAGTACATATCTGTCCTTTTACCCTGTTAAGCACTTTGTCTTCAAGGTTTCTATTTCCCATTACCTTATAGCAATACACTAATGAAACTTCCCAAAAATCTCAGATTGATTTGAAAAATATCTAATAAACTCAGATTTAGTGCTTCTCTGTATTTTAATTAAGTTTGTCAAACTCAGATGCAAATGTTCATACTTCTTATTATAATGTTCCTTACTGATTAAGATCATTTTTCCCTTTTTTGATAAGTTTTACGAGTTCAAAATGTAATGCATGTTCTCTGAAACCTAGTTATTTTTTCATTAATTCAACAGGAAATGAAATATTTGTGCCCAAATTTTGCCTCTTACCACAAAAAGACCCTACGAAATTATGTGACGCTGGTATTTCTTACCCTATAGGTAGGTGAAATATTTCTTAGATGCATGATCATTATTGTCAGTCGTGGTGTTTGCTTTGTAGCTACTGAAATTTTGTGATATTGTGTAGCTAAATTATAAGACGTTGTGCAGTATAATAATTTTTCAAGAGTGCGTTGGATGTTTGGGGAAATTATTCACTTCTTCTTTAGAAATGGTCGTGTTAAAGTTTAATATCAGTTTGGTAATCGCTGTTCATGATACATTATAATCCAGTTGGGAGTTGACTATTATGAAAGAATTGTCACGTAGTTTTCATTGTCACCGCTATTAAATTTCACCTTGAGCACTTAATACCACTTTCCAGATAAAATTATAGCGTTTAGACACTGGTGGTATCCTTTCTGTATATTAGGAAAGTTCACTGAGAGGTAATTATATCTTGGATACTTAGCCACAGTTTTTAGTAACACACTTCATTACTATTGTGATCTGACTAATGAAAGCAACTAATAATAAGGCAACTTTCTGAGTGCTAATGCCTGCCCATCTTGATTCACTTGTTTCTAGATCATGTAGAAAGTGTCGCAGTCATAATAGTCAAATTCTCATTTTAAGGAAGTTTTATTTTCCCCTCTTTATTTCACTGTTAAATTACAGCAACCCATATTTTGAGGTCCGGTCACAAGTCATGTTATTCTAATTATGAAAACCTCAAATGTTCTTTTTCGACGCTTATAAAATTTATCAGAACTTTCGTTTAATAATTTTGTCCTTTTTGAGTTTTCAGTTTGATCGTAGTAATAAATGTTTCTAGAAAGAGGATTTGTACATAAACTTGCGTCCTCTATGTTGCAGTCATCTACATTAAACCCATTCGGTCACGCAACATTCGGAAACGTAACCATTTTTATTTATCAAATCAAGAATCTTTATAAAACTTGTATTATTCGGCCGTTTTTGTTTTCGTAACTGATAATCGTGACTGTAGCAACAACTTTTCACAAATAGTTCTTTTAAGCATAACTAGTTATGCAATGCTTTGACTAGTGTAGAGGATGTATATGTTATCAATAGTGTATATGATTCCATTTCAAACGTGTCGCTTTTCAGACATATAGAAATTAATGTTGAATGTGCTTTCGAACTTTCAGTGGGTAAAATGATACCTCGAATATGTACCTTTTATTGTGATATTTAGTTACCAGCCGACACATTAAATTTTGAATGTCAATGTCTTTACTTACGTAGATTTATTATTTTTGTTTTGAGGATATCCTGGTAGTACCCTTGTCATATTATTTACTAACCGAAACTATGATGTACTTCAGGGAAGAGAGGAAAATCAACACAAGTACCTCTTTCTTAGAATGTGCTTTCGTTATTTGCTAAACAGCAACTTCCTGCTGTTTTTGATTTGAAATAGCGATAAGATGTGACAGGTCTTTGTTGAATGCGAAAATGTGGAGTCCTAATTAGTAAATTATTGGTTTGTGAATTTTTAGTAAGTCTCTATTACCACTGTAAGGTCGTGATTTTCGAGATTTACGAATCGTTAGCATTCCTTAACTTGATGAAACTTGGTTCTGTCTGTACAGCCTGATTTGCAAAATTTCTCCGGGCTTAGAATTAGTTATCATCACAGGATTATGCCTTTCTTTATTCGTTTAAGTGTTGACTTGTTTTTCTTCCACAAGTCATAGGGTCTGAGTTCAGCATGATGGTAAAATATGGTAGAACGTTTTACAGTTCACGAAAAATTCAGTTTTGATCTCATAATGGATACTATGTTGTTTAGTTTTAGCATTTCTTTCCTTAAATTTTGGAAGTGAAGTAATAATACGGAGTTGGTTTTAGAGGTGTGCTAAGGACAGATGCTAAGCAGTCATGATTTTGGTAGCAAATCATTTAATATGTCACAGGATTGACCTTAACATATTTTTAAACTTATGTAGAAATCATCAAGGTTGAATGTTTAGATTTTTAGAAGACCCAACCATTAAGGAATATGAGTCTCCTTTTTGTCCTCTAAAACAACTAGTTCACACTTAGAGCCTATTCCAGTTATAATAATTCTTTTTATATATATTTATTGTCAGGGGCGGTGTGACAGTTTGGTATTCTTTCTACACCGTACGATATTTTTATCTTTTTGTATTTGTTATATCCTATAACCGAACAACACACGTAGACGACCATCAGCAACCAGTACGAGGGGGGCTGATTATTTATTTATTTATTTGAACACATAAATATTGGTACAAGAATGCGCCACACAAAACAATGAGAATTCGAAGAGAAAGAAAAAAAGGAAAGGAGCGTGAAAAAAAGAAAACAATAACGAAGAGGTTGGTGTAAGGTAGTGTAGTAATAATAATAGTAATAATGAGGGAACGGAAAGGTGCGATCAGAAGAAATCTTTCAGTTAAGAAAGACACAACCACTTTTTATGAAGAAGGTAAAAGAAGGTTACAGCAGAATCGCCACTGGCTTCTATTCCGAGCCATACCTGATAACGTCTCTAGTCACTGTGTAGCACCATCTCTCGGACCCCAACCAGGGAGTCGTGAAGGACCGACACAAGCCAGCCTTTTGCAGCTTTCTTTCATACCACGACACCATGTCATATACTGACGACCTCTCCGCTTTCTTCAACTAGTCCCAGAGTCGGCAAATAATGCACGGCGTGGAATTCTGTGACGACATTCGTAGAACATGTCCAAGCCACCGAAGTCGGTGTTTCAAGATGGTGACATCAATTACATTATCATCTCTGTGCCCGAACACACGATGCCGAACCTCTGCATTACCAATATGGTGTTACCACTAGATGTCAGCAATCCTTCAGAGACAACGATGATCAAACACAGAGGGTCGTCTAACATCCTCAACTCGGAGAGGCCAGGTTTCACAAGCATAGAGCAGAACTGCTCTCACCGACACGTTGTAGATCAGACCTTTTACAGCCAGACTAACATCACGAAGGCGCCAAAGGTGGCCCAGATTGGCATAAGCCGCTCTGGCTTTCACTATACGTGCATTGATCTCATCACTCACACCCCCACCAGCACTTATGCAGCTACCCAGATACACGAACTTCTCTACTACTTCTATCTGCTCACCATCCAGGGTGAGTACAGGATTAGGATCCTGCCAGTCTTGTAGAAGTACTTTGCACTTCTAAGGTGCAAAGCACATACCATACTTACAGACGCTGATTGCCAACTGATTAAGTGCGGATTGAATGCCTTGGGCATTATCGCACAGTAAAACAATATCGTCCGCATACTCAAGGTCGAGAAGTCTTTCTCCAGGCAACAGATCCACACCACCATTACTTACATTCATCAGAGCTGTTTCCAGAATGTCATCGATGGCAAAGTTGAAGAGGAATGGTGAGATTGGGCAACCCTGTCTAATCCCACTGCTCGAATGGAACAATGGAGAGAGGTGGTTGTATGCCCTCACTCTGCCTGAGGTGTTTGTATATAGGGCTTTTAGGATGTTAATAAACTTCTCAGGCACACCCTTCTTCAATAGACAATCCCAGAGAACAGTCCTGTCCAACGAATCGAAGGCAGCCCTGATGTCAAGAAACACTACGATTGCTGGCCTTTGATAAGTATGGCGGTGTTCTAACATTTGGCAGAAGGTGAAGATATGATCAATACATCCTCGATCAGAACGAAACCAGCCTGCTGCTCGCGAGTCAATCTTTCTCGGGTTTTGAACAACCTACGAAGTATGACGGAAGCCAATAACTTGGACGCAATCGGAAGTAGACCTATCCCCTGATAGTTGTTACAGGAACGACGTGAACCCTTTTTAAAGATAGGGACAACTATCGACTCATTCCATGACGTTGGTACACTCTCTAGTTCCCAGATTTTGTAAACGACGGCGTCAGTTCCTTACACAGAAAGCCACCGCCATCTTTAAAAAGGGCCGGAGGTAAGTCATCTGGGCCAGGTGATTTGTAGCGCTTCAAGAGTTGGAGTTCCTTGCGGAATTCCGCCTCATTTGGTGGATCAGTCGTCACCAGCTATGGAGGGCAGGACAGTCTGACTGATGTTGCAGGAGCAGCAGGCCAGTTGAACTGCCCTTCGAAAAATTCTGCCCATCGTCCAAGACGTCGATGAATGTTAGTGATTGGCATCCCATCATCCTCGCATATTGTTTCACTCACACCAGACTTCTTGCTGCCAGTGGCTCGGATGAGTTGGAAGAGCTTCCGGTAATTACCAGATACAGCTGCTGCTTCCAGCTCATTAGCACGCATCGACCACCAGGCTTCTTGGTCCTTACGCAAGCTTTGCCCAATTTCCTTACGTAACATCCTTCGTTTATGGTCAAACTCACGGTCACCTGGAGTAGACCGACGGGCTTCAATGAGTTGTAAGGAACCAGAAGAAACCCAACTCTTATGAGCAGGACGTTTCACAAACCCACAACTGACTGTACCCGCCATTTTTATGGCATCATGCAATTGCAACCAATGCTCATCTATACTTTTCGGTCGAATGGTAGCTAGCCTATAAGCTAGCTCGGTTCGATACTTACTTGCAACAGAAGTTGCAACCAGCTTGCTAACATCAATTCGTTGATGGCGGTCACTTCGTTGGCCACTGAAAAGTAAGGTAAGATTGGCGCAGACCAGGATATGGTCAGAGTCCAGATAGGTACTCCAAAAGGAGCGGCAGTCTTGTACACAACCACGCCAGCGGTAGCTGATCGCGATGTGATCAATCTGAGTCCAGGCTTGAGATGCAGAGGAAGGACGCCAGGTGGCACATCGGCGATGACTGTGCCGTAAGTTAGTGCTAGCCAGAAACAGGTTGTGGTCTGTGCATAGTTGCAGTAGACGGTCCTCGTTATCTGTCATGCGACCAACGAGTCCCCATCGGCCACCTAAACGACTCTCTTCTGTGCCTAGACACCCGACCTGAGCATTCAAGTCTCCGGCTAGTACTACAATATCTGTCGAACGCACTTTCTGGAGAAGAACGGATAACTGGTGGAAAAACCCATCCTTGATTGCATTCGGGTTACAATCTGTCGGAGCATAGGCGGAGATGACGAAAAGACATAGTTTCCCACGCCGATTTCTTCTCACTTTGATGGAACTCTTTCATCTAACAGCACATAACCGACTGTTAATGGGGATCCGATCGATTAGTGCTGCCTCATCTCTAGCGCTTAGTGCGACACCAACGCCAGCAAGACTAGATGAAGATGTCACAGAGTCCCCGGATAAGCGCACGTAAAACAAGGTTTCGAAGCGACAGATGGAGATCGAATTTGTAGTACTTCGCCAGAGTCTTGAATACGGGTCTCGGATAGACAACAAACATCAATATTAAGACTTTCCAAAGACATAGCCAGCCCTATCTGTTGTCCAACCTGCATAAGTGTGCGAACGTTGAAGGCAGCCAGTTTGAATGGTGCACGTGGTTTCAAAAAAACTGCTTCAGTACTCATATACGGTGGTAACATACAATTTTCAACCGGACAGTGACTCGAGAACGTTTAGATAGAGTCGAAATTCCACCAAAGACGAGCTGCTGTATAAGTCGAAAAAATAAGTATAGACAGTAGGAATAAAAGAAGGTGAATAATGTCGTAGTAAATAATAATAATAATAATAATAATAATAATAATAATAATAATAATAATAGTAATAATAACAATTATTGTAATGATAGTGACTTGAATCATTTGATTGTTATTCGAAGCGAGAAAAGTAGTTTCCATAGATTTAGAGAGTTCATCATTTGCGTGTGGGCTGTGATACTGCCCAGGTGCCCACACCGAAGCAGGTGGTTTTCTTAGGGGGCCACTCCCCGAGCCCTTGACCTAAAGGTCTAACCCACAAGGCAGTGGAGCATCGTAAGGAAATGCAGTCCTATGGAAGCCGGTGACCGAAAATTGGTTCATACGCCATTTGTTCCCGCAGGATACTGTAGCCCATGTGCACCATTGGTTTGGGATCCGATTAAAGCGCCGGACATTCGCTTTTCGTCCTCTCATTTTCGTAAACAACACTTGTCATGAGAAGGCAGTGAGTAGAACTTTCCTGGCAGAGGATATATACGCGTGGCCATGTGCGAGTATTTCGAGAGGAAGGGCGGACCCGCCCCGCTCCCGGCCATACCAGGGCATTCGGGGGCTTAAAATCCCGGGTCGCCTGGTACTCTATGCTTGATGGTTGGCCCAGTAATAACTAACCCCGAACGAAGAGGAAAAACTCAAAACCAATTATCGCCAGTACAAGATCGTTATGATATTTCAGTTTTTTATTTTATTTATTTATTTAAACTCAAACATTGTTACAAGGAGGCACCAAATAGATGTGCAGCTCATAAATCAATCGATTTGTGTGAGGGCTGGGATACTCTCCAGACGCCCAAACCGTAGCAGGTGGTTTTCTTAGGTGATTACACCCAGAGCCATCGACCTAAAGGTCTAACCCATAAGGCGGTGGAGCAAAGTCAGGAGATGCGGTCTCATAGTGGCCGGTGACTAACGATTGGTTCATACGCCATTTGTTCCTTCAGGATACTGGAGCCCATGTACACCATTGGTTTGGAATCTGAGTTTTCCAACCCCCTAGGTGGACCCTCTGCGTCCACCAACCCAGTTAAAGCGCCGGACATTCGCTTCTTGTTCTCTCACTTTTGTAAACAACACTGCCTCCATGAGAAGGGAATGAGTGGGACTTCTCTGGGAGTGACTGTATACGCGTGACCATGTGAGAGCATTTGGAGAGGGAAAGCAGACTGTCCCCACCCTCGGTCATACCAGGGCATTCGGGGGCATTGTATTTCAGACATTCACTTATATACATAAAAGACCACCCCCGGCAGCAGACTAATTGAGTAGCAGTGTTAACAAAAATAGCAACATTAGTAATAGGAAAAATGGTGTACTGGGTATACAAATAATTGGTTCTAGTTTATTAGTGGAAAATGCTATAATAGCAATTTATGGTTCAAATAAAAGCTTGGGACTAGGGTAATACGGAAATAAGCGAACCAAACTGCTTAATAAAAGTGTAATCAATTTATATAGATAAAATCGTAGAAAAACAGCTTAGGAAGTTTTTACCTCATAGTTAAATCGTCCCTAACAATAGTATGGTTTTAATTATTAATTATTTCGGTGATCGTCTTTAATTTCCATATAAAATTCCCTAAAAATTAAGTATGATGTACCATATATTTCGTATCACTGTCTTTCAATTTTATTCTTAAGTGTTCATTAATGTTAAAATGATAGGATGAAAATATGTATGTGCTAGAATTAATCGTCATGCTTGATAATCTTTCTGCCAGTAGTTTAAAAATGATGTTGGTTGCACACAACGTCAAAAAGGATGCTAGGGTAATTCAACCAAGTAGGAAATATGTTTCATAATAAGTTCAGAAAATTGTCATCTTCTGATTGCTTTCCAAACGAATGAACATCGAAGAAGCGTGCGCTTCCTCTGAGTAACGGTAAAAACTCACTAGACTTTAGTGTTGCTGATTTCCAGGATTTCACTAACTTTGAGTATGCTTACCTATTTCTGTATTCTGTGAACACTGGTGCTTTTCCATCGACATCACCAGATTATGTAACTTCATCATCAGTAATATAAAGTGTCAAGATGTAGTATGCTAAGCTGTCATCGGGATCTACAAATCCTAATGTGTTTACTGCTCGTTTCAGTATGTTTTTGTCTTTTGTTTGTTAACTAACATTTTTATTGCTGAAACAAAAGTTAGGGTTCTGGCTTTTCACAATATTTCAGCTATTTTCACTTACAGTGATTTGTTAAAGAATTTCGGGCTTCTCGGCCAGGATCCATTAGATAGTGTCTATCATGTTGATATTAAGCGTATTGGATGTTCTTGATAGCACAATCACACCTTGTTTAATACATTCTTTAAAAACCAAACATTTTAAATTCCTTGCCATGTATTTTTTTAATTAGTTTTCACTCAAGCAAAGTGAGTCGGCGCAAGGAAAGCACCTTCGTAGCGGTGGAGAATTTTATCTAATTCTTAGTGCTTTTCAATATAACTAGAACTAAATGTACGAAGTCATGACTGGCAGTACTCTTTCAACTGCAACCATTTCATCCCTTTATTTTTTTCTAGGCTGATCTAACCTAGTATTCTATCATTCATTTAAATGTTTATTTCACCGATAATTTGAATGTATGATATATTTGAAATTTGATTTTCATCTATAGTTTGCAAGTCACTAATGGCCCATGGAAATGACAATGTACATAAGGTACGTTGGTTTTATTCAGTATGTCCAATTACTTCGATTTACCAGAGAATGCAATTTTCCGTTAAATTTCTGCTGATTGTGCTTTATTTCCGCACATAAAGTTATTAATACCTTTAACCATTAGTTTATATATATATATATATATATATATATATATATATATATATATATATATATATATATATATATATATATATATATATATATATATATATATATATATATATATATATATCAGTACCAATTATGATAATTCGTGTAGAGAAGCTTTGGAAACAGTGAGCTACACTGGAATTATTGAAACACTTTTGGGTTTGTAAGTCGATAAATTGAATTCTTCTGTACGCTAATTTAATTCAGTATACTAATTAATCTCACATCATACACGTAAATAGTCAGTATCCATGAAATTTACTGTTATCTGGATGTTTTTAAAAATAGGGAATTATCTTATTAAAAATGTTAATCGTTTTCGAGCAATTGTTGTTGTTAAAACCCACTTATTCGTTACATCAATTACGTGATATATTTGCTCAATACATTTCGAACACTCTGACCACACATATACTTGTTAAGACATTTTACAACAACAAGCCGCAAAGAAAAATAAAGTACACAAAAACAATGTGATAACCACTCTTGGTAATAAATCGGTATTAACAGGGTAGGTTAAGGGTAAGAACAAATTGTTTTTGAACATATAAAGAGGTTTCAGTTTCCGTATAGCCAAGGCTTCAATAAACCTTAATATACACCCTTGAAGGCCTTTGTACAACACTACAAATGCTGATTTGATATCAACCTTACGACCAGTCTCAACCAAATGTTTCGCAATAGAGGAAGATATCTGTCTATCGTGTGATCTTATTTGACCATTGACATTCATTTGTTTCTGCGGTCATTTAGGTATGCGTTCCTCCACTCTTTCTTGCAGATCACGACTGTTCCTCCATTGCAATATGGTTCAATATTAGTTGATTATTGATAGTGTTGAACTATAACAATATAACTCTTCAAAATTAATCCTTCTAAAGCAAATTTATTCCCATCTCACTACCTAGTGGGTATATACCTACAAATTAGTCTTTTGATCAAATCGTATTTGATTCTTAGTATTTCTGTTTCCGTTATGCGGTTATTGCTGTCTAAACTGTAAATGTTAGAATTCAAGCTGATATAAATGCAGTTTTCATCAACAGTAAGTTTTTGTTAAACTTGCTGAAATGATGAGAGAGATAATGGGATGGTACTTCATTCGAGTAGTCATACGTTTATATCTTACAAAGAAAGAAGTTTAGTGAAATCAACAGATCAGAAAGACGAAAAGAATGAAATAAATATAACAGAAACAGAGAAATATTTATCTTTTAAGTGCATGATTAGAAGCAACGCTACTATGCCATTCTAGTCTGTGTCATCATGGCACTTTAGGACCTCATACACTTTTTATTGTTTTCACATACATCTATTTCATTAAGTATTTAGTTCTCTAGACGATCTAATTTAGATAGTATGAATGCATAAATTATCTGTAAATCGTAGTCTAACTACTTTCGAGTTTCGCCCATCTACCTCAGTTAATATTTAGAAAAACGCCTTGCAGAAACTACTATCATACGCTTGAAAAAAAATAAAAAGGATAAAACAAAACTCATCGCTTGTTTAAGATGGATCAAAAATTGGTGAATGCCTTTAGAATTCAGGTATCATTTTTGTTACATCCGCAACAACGAGATATATTAACGGAGCAGAGCGAAAGATAAATTATACGCATTGTTAAGCTATGAGTCACGTTGTTTGTGTGTTAGATAATATTGTTCAATTTTACTAACTGAAATTGATTTTTCAGTCTTGACGTAGTTGTTAATCAGTCGAAATTTAAAGCATTAATGTTGCGTATTTTGGGGAACACCGTTTATTTTTACATTACTGGTAACAGAAACAGACAGTGCCAGCTGATAACTTTTTATTCAAACGCAGCCAAATTTAGCATGAAAACATTTAGATTATAAATTTTGCTATGGATTATTACTGGTTTCGTTGTGATCACCTTATACTTCAGGATGGAAGTTATCATAATTATGGAGAGTTCATCCGGTTTTATTACGGCTCTTTTTCTTTATTCATGTGTACCCATCTGTGTATAACCCATGAATCGAATATCTAGTCTAGTGATAGTATAATCTCGATCACCAGTCGTTTTATCGTATTAGCTATAGTACATTGTAAAGACAAATCTATTTTTAGTCTGCCGGTATCATTTACATTGCAATTGCGTATCTCTGTTTTATGTCACTCGCTTATAATTATCTTTCAGACTATTTATGAGAAGTAGCATGTAATCTAGAGTCTCTTAGTGTTGCTACACATTACTCTCTAGGTTTACAAGTAGTTTTTATAAATCGGAACAGGAAATTTTATAAGTTTGCTCTTCAATATCACCATTATCAACCGTAGCAGATAAAACATATACGCTATAGAATGTAAGCATATCGGCTATCTACGTTGTTTAGTTTAGTTAAGCTAATGATATGAAGTAATGTTCATCTTGGTTTTGTCAGTTGGATTCCTTAACAGGGACGTGTATCTCAACCACTGGTACGGCCGAGAGTGGGGAGAGTCCGCTCTCCCTCTCGAAATACTCGCACATGGCCACGCGTATATATCCTCTGCCAGGAAAGTTCTACTCACTGCCTTCTCGTGACAAGAGTGTTGTTTACGAAAATGAGAGGACGAAAAGCGAATGTCCGGCGCTTCAATCGGATCCCAAACCAATGGTGCACATGGGCTACAGTATCCTGCGGGAACAAATGGCGTATGAATCAATTTTCGGTCACCGGCTTCCATAAGACTGCATTTCCTTACGATGCTCCACTGCCTTGTGGGTTAGACCTTTAGGTCAAGGGCTCGGGGAGTGGCCCCCTAAGAAAACCACCTGCTTCGGTGTGGGCACCTGGGCAGTATCACGGCCCTCACACATATCGAATGAGATTTGTGTGGCGCATATGTATTTGGTGCCTCTTTGTACCAATATCTATGTGTTGAAATAAATAAATAAATAAAATCTAGATGATGAGAATTCAATTTTATCTGTCTTAATGATGGAAAGAAAAAATATTTTACTGTCCAGCAGTTGTATCAGGAAAAACAGCGTTCACACTGCACTATAATTTTTATCATAATGTAGGGATGTGAATATACACAGTTATTTTCCATTTTTGCAAAAGCAATAATAAGAGATGGATTCAGTGACTGCATTGTTACTTCCGTTAGCGCATCTATAAAAAAAGTGATGTTTTCATAGTTTACTTTTACAACTAACTACGTAATTTTAGATTGAAAAGTTTACGTAATCGATTCTTACTTACTAAGTCACGGGTTCAAACTATAATATATCTACTGAAATTTGAAGAGCCGGATAATATTGTTAGCGGTTATATGATTTCTGTAACTTGCAGTCTAATACGGTAATCTGTATATGACCACTGAATAGCATATCTTCAAGAACATAAAACTCACGAAAATTTTCATGGTTTCAGTTATCTATGAGGTGAATTGATCACGTTTACATTGATCATCAAGTTCTTTAACACAGGAATGGTTAGTGAGGCCTTATACCTGACATAAACCGTGTGACAATCTTTGAATTGAAGCAGTAGATCGATTTGTCATATCAATCACGGCACAGTTCGAACTCACACTTGTGTAATAATTCCTCGAGGTTCATTCAAGGTGACGACAACAAGCGGCGTTCATCGTGGATATTCGCTTTCACGACTCCTGTCCAAGTTTACTCGTGAACGAATTGAGTATATCATGTTTAGACTTTCTTGAGACTATTCTCGTCCATGGCGATCCTCTGGCCGATCGAGAGTAGGTAGGCGACATAGTTCTCCCATGCAAAATCATTGATAAGATGCCTTAAGTTCCTTGACATGAATTTATAAAATTCAAGATAATTTTCTGAGATTGATTTACTTTTACGCTTAGTTCGTCAATATAGATCAATGTAGTTGAAACTATTATTTATTTGAGGAATCAGATCACCTAATAAGTTGGCTACTGAAAATGTTCCAGCATGAATATAGGTGTTTGATCTAGTTCCTACCAAAATTTGCTACTTACAGGAAGCATATATTTCTATTTATTCGAAAAGGAATGCAGTACGTAGCAGTCTTCTTTAACTGTGTGACATAGTTGTTGAAGATGGAAAATACACAAAAACTACATGCTTGACTACGGCTCTGTTTAGCATTGCAAAGGGGGTAGACCAGTTGATGAGGTCATTTATCTGCACTGTCGGGGATGACTGAGTGATGAGATGCTGTTTGAATTACGGTTAGAATAAAAACCAACTTGGAGTGGGCAAACTGAGATATGGGATCAGTCTGCGAAATAATTGACTGTTAGTCATCGTTGTGCAAGGCATCGTAGGCCTTCTAGATACGATTCTCAGTGTACTGTAAGTTAGAGCTCGGAAAAGTTTGGTGACTCGATCCAAACTAACCGCAGTGGTGCACATATACTCTATATTTTCTCAAATCGTGAGGTTTTTAATAATTTAATAGGTGTAAATTACTATTAGTGTAGTTGTAATCTAACATAAGGTTGGCAGCTGTCAATCAACAGTGTCGTCACGAAGATCTATCCGAAACCTTTGTTTCTCAAGAATATACTATAACAAAAACTAAAATATTATTACTTACTTTCATGGGTGAACTGGTTGATTGCATTTATACTTATATTGTACTTATATCCTAGTTTCTCTGTAGTTTTCCTTAATCATTTTAAATGATTTTCTATTTAGATAGCTATTGTTTTCAATGACTCAGGTCTAGATCATTTAACATATCCCATATTTGTTCAGCAATTTATTAAACATAATGGAAAAGTTCTTAAATTATTTGTAGTCGGTGATCATAGTTGTGTTACTGAAGTTCCTTCCATTAAAAATCACGACAAATCTGGTAAGTTTGCATCTATCATTATATGTTATGAAAAATTTGACATGTTGGTGTATGTATAAGTTATATCTGTTCGTCATTTAGATGTAGACGAACACTACCCAGTAGTATAGGTTTACGTATTAGGCTCAATCATAATCTTTGTATTGAACCTAATAGGCCGAATTGGTTATTGAAGCCAAAGTAAATGGAACTTAATTCGAGCATCTGAACCAATGGTTGAGTTTTTCTAAATATGATATGGATAAAAATAATTACTAAGAAAAACATTCACACAAATGAATCGGGTATATATATATATATATATATATATATATATATATATATATATATATATATATATATGTATATATATACATATGTATTTTATAGTAATCAGGTAGCCATCTGCTTTTGTATACAACATTAGCTGTAGTAAAACTATATGGAAATATAGTCAAAAGAAGTCGTGTCAAGAAATGACACCAATCCATGAAGTGACTGACTGTCGTTTTGAATCACTTCGTAGATGGAGTCCTCTAGATGATAAATATTAATAAACCAAAACAACTGCAATTTCACTATTCGTTTGTTTATCCCCATAACGCTTTTCTAGAGTTTATCACAAGTTTGAAGTATCGTTCATTATACTCCAAGTTACATCGGTGTTATTTATTTGATCTTAAGCAGTCAAATAGTCGGTGTTATTTTACGTTATAACGGAAAAAATTACTCTAGTACCAATTACGATAGCACTCGATAAGCTTGGACAATAAGACTGGATACACTAGACCACCATATTAGATAATTAGACGACTAGACTAGAACATGTTATACGCAGATAGACGATTCCAACCAATGATCGAAAGCTACATTACAGGTCAGAAAACGGCGTTAATAACACAAATACAAGGAGTTCACTCAGTGAAACTCAGAATGGAAGATCCAAGTGAATCAATTACAAAATAAAAATAGTAAATTATATTAAAAATTATGGAGTGTGTGTGGCCATTTTTGCTCAGTAACCAGTCATTAAACAATAAACAAACCCTAATTATTCTTCCAATTTTTTTAAGAAGTTTATTTCGTTTCTGGCTATCACCATTGTTATGTAAAGAATCCCTTGTTTTTCGACTTTAGGTGTTCCTTCTTAAGTAAATTTTTAAAATTGTTTTGGTTTATTTTAGTTCTAAGTGAACAACAATTAGAAGATCCCATTTATCTTATCAACTCTTCATAAGAATATCAGATCATTTTCATCACTATACTTCATATTCTGTCACAATCGATACTATGGTTATTATTAAATTTTTTTATTTTTTTTTATTTCAATAATTCAATTCGTTCAAGTACTATAGCTGAACTTTATACGTTTAAGATAGAAGTGTTATTTTTCGAATAAAGTACGTGAGAGAAATAGTACTGCTCAGAATAGTTTTTATGACACTACTGTAAATTACTGACGTAGAATATATGAAAAACTTATTTTCAGTATTACAGTAAAGGGACAGTTTGTAATCTATCATACGTTTGTTTAATCATAAGAATAGCAGTTAAATATTTTTTCTATAAAAAAAACCATTGATATACTGAAACATTGATTACCTATTTAGAAAGTACACTCATCTTTTTAGGCCTAAATGTATTTGATATTAACTTGTCAATATACTTTAGACAATTTATCTACAAATGCATAGAATGTGCTTTCACTGTAATGACATTAAATAAAACAAAAAAATGTGATTTGGCTTTTCTAAGCTTTATTCCTACTTTTTCTCTCTAACATTGTGTGGTTTCATTTAAGGTTACACTTTATTATATACTAATAATAAGTTTTTTTTGGATAATCAAAATTCTTACTTGATTAAAGAATCAATTCTTTAGTTTAATTATATTTAATAAAATTAACACTACTACTATTGTTTCTGATAATAAAGGATAACCTTGTACTTTAGATATTGTTTAACTTTTGCTATTTCTTCATTGTCGTTACCAATTGTATGTTTAAATAACTTTTTTTTAAAAATCTGAGTCCAATTAAAATTCATTTCAGCCTTAGAAATAAACTTACATTTTAACTTGATTATATTAATGTACTTTTATAAATTACCGATGCAACTAATTTAATATTGAACTTTATAATCGTGTTTTTTTTTATTAAAAAAAATTGATATCAGTCTCCAGGTTTATTGTCTTGACCAGTTGAAAAGATTTTCATGTTGAAATTTCATTTTAATATTATGAAGTTATCTCACTAGAGATTCTTGTGATTAAAATGAATTTGAAACATATAATTTGGTTTATGCTATCATAATAACTTATGAATAAAAGCTTATTGTGGTTTGCGTTAGATCTGACAACAAATCCACAAAACCTCGACTAAATTTGTATATTTCCTGAAGCGAATCTGTTGCTAAATCTGCCACTACTGACAAACTAATTTCAGGAAGCATGATACGAGATTCCTTCTAACTTACTTTAGACATAAACGAGTAGCGGATTAAACGTATAGCAAGCAACAGAATTGTTCAGAAAATAAGACTAGAACAGACAAATCATAAATAGCTTACAAAGCTTAATAACCCCAGAGCTCACCAGAGTGAGGCCACTACAGTATGCTAATGGTTACCCCAGTTTTTAAGCTCATTTATCGTTGTTATTTTTGGCTAATGACATTTCTTATATTCTGGATTGAAGTTTATTTACTCTACAGATGGTGTTACCTACTTTTCATAAATGTTTGTTTTGAAATGATTAAAAAAACAACCTTTTTTCGTATAACATCTATTCCGTCTTCACTGAACCTCTGCTTTCACACATGAATCTTCCAAGTTTTACAACGAAGCGTTTGAATAGAATGATAACACCTAATAGCTATTAACGGAGCAATAGAATATGATTTAATAATTAGTTATAAGTATCTGCTGAAATGTAAGTGTAAACGATAGATAACTCCTACCTCTAACTTCTTCGGAAATAAAAGAGAACCCATTAATTTCACAAAGATGACTTATAGATGTCTTTTTTGTTGATTCATGTTATTTAGGTGATTATTTTTTACTCTTTCCCACTAATCTGTAAGTACACTGTTGCTTTTTCTCCACAGCAGATAGAACTCCAATATTTTTTCATTCACATAGTGTATCGAAGGATGGTTGTCAATCACCTTTATCTGAAGTAAGTACTGGAATCCTCATTACAATCTTACATGTATTAAACTTTTATTCAGCACTTTGTGAATCGTTCTCACCATCCGCAGTTGTTTTAAATTGAGATCACCATGTTTGATAAGATTTAATAACCGTTTTTTAAAAAGCCTAAGGTTTGTGTAGTAAAAGTATTTATGTTTCATCGCTTTTCAAAATATAAACATGCTTATTTGACCGACACACAAGTTGTATTTACCAAATGTTATATTCGACTAGGTCAGCTTTTGTCGGTGACATCCTAAACAATTATATGAGTTATGAAAAACTCTACACTGACTCTTCCATCCTCTACATCAGGAATGCGACAAGTCGTTGGAAACATGTCTTCTTGGTATTTTACTTTGGCTATTTTTCATCATAATTATATAGTATTCGTACACCAACTTCCTCATGAAACCGTTATGCTACTTTGTGTGATAAATATCATAGTTCCTCATTCCCAAAAAGCTCTGAGTTTCAAATAGAAACTAATTTTCACATGTTTTATGCTTCCCACTTGTAAGTGGATGTTCTAGGATTGATATGCTTCTGGATAAAGTGGCAGTGTGTAAACCATTTCAAAAATGTAAAGCATCATATGCGTGTGGTCAAAAGTATGTCGCTACAAGTACAAGAAGTTTAGCTGGGACTTCCCATTTCGCAGTCTATGATACAAGTACGACACTCGAATTGCTATCTAGTCACGAGTATATTATACATAGATAGTCATTCTACTAATTTGCCGAGAATGTATTGTTTTTAGTTAAACCAGTTAAGAAGACTTGAGGTAATGACTGGAACTGCTGTATGATAAGTACTTAGAGCAGGTACCAAGTTTGGTCAGGGAGTGAAAAGGAGGCAAATTTGTAAACTTGTACAGACTATATCATATCAAGCATCGTGAGCCATCATCTACCACGGTTTGTGGCGGGAATTGAGGTACAGATGATATCCTTAATACATAGTAGTATTCTTCCAGTTACTATCAAATGTTAGTCAGAGTAATTCAAATCCTATGGCAATTATAGGAATGTAATTGGTAATTTCGTCTCAAATATTGGTCGTCTTGTGTCTTTAAAGAACATGGTTATCAATTATCTTCAACATTTCAATAGTTCTTTGCCTATCCTAATATCTTGTTTAGACGGTTAGGAAGATCATACATTGAAATCAACGGTTGTTTCTTATCTGCAATAATAGCATACGTTGAGTGGGATCCGTCACTTACACGTTTTTATAGCATGATAAACCGCCTCGTAAAAAAGTATGTAAATTTTATTCATCGCGTCAACTATATTGCATTAAAAAATAAAACTACAGTTAATGGATGCCATTGATGACTTTGATGTCTAAAAACTAGCCGAATAGTTTGTTTTCATCTTTCATTTTAGTTGAGCTCATTTTCCGATAAACAAACGACAACCCCATATGATGAGTCCCTATTCGATATGTTGGCACATGAAGTTCGAAAAACGCTCAAAATTGATTTGTTTGGGATAGATCTCATTTGTGCAACCGAAAATTCCATATCTGATGCTCTCTCGAAATCAAACAAATACGCTATTATCGATTTAAATATTTTTCCAAGTTAGTGAAATGTTTTTATATTAACTATAGTGAGTCTATCTGGGTTAAGTATTAGAATATTTTGATGTATGTTTGATATTTTTTATTTTAGTAGAGTTCTGACTGGTGTGGATCAGAAATGGTACTTATAGTTTGTTACCCAATGGAAACAACGAACAAAAAACTTGTGTAGGTCTTTTACCCGATGTGTTTTGTGCACGTCTGTAGAAACGTCTCGGTCATTATAGTTACAGTAATCGGGTAAATTAAACGTCACCCTTTTTTAAAAAATAATAAATATAATTAAACAGAAACTATCATCCTATTAACTCGCTTTTTGTTTAACTGATAATTAGCTTACATTTAACCCGTTTATATTTTATACCATGTTTTAGGCTACAAGAATGTGCATGGGTTCTTATTTTATTTAGAGAATCTAATCAGGGAAAAACTCTCCTTGCCTTTACTTTCGAATGATAGTACCGATGTCCAGAAATAACACAAAGTAGTGATTTTTATTATTATCTCGAATACCTCGTAGCTGTTCGTAAAAACTGAAACTTACTTATTTTTATAAAACTTTTGTGAAACTATTTTGATTTCTTAAACAATGGTTTATATTGTTTTTCCTTTATTACTACGGTCAGGTTTTTCTATTCTTTTGCAATATACTTACGCTTCCTTTAGCATTGTTTGATTGTACTACTGATCAGCAGTACGCGTTATATTTATGTTAATCGCTACGAATAATATAAATTGGAACGAGTCCTCCAATTTCTTAGTACATCGTCTAGACTAAAAATATTGTAACTAACTCTCACCGAAATGTAATCGATCGTGAGATGTAAACATCATGCTCAAAAAGAAACTAGTCACAGCTATATTGAACTAAATAGTGTTATAACGAACAAAGACAAGTTTTTATTTGATTGATTCAATTTACACACTGAAATGATTCAAAATAATTGCCTCGAGCGTAATCTGAACATCGATGAATCAATATAAATTCTACCACGCGCACAATTACATCCCAGTTAAACTCGACAATTATTATAACTCAGTGGTGAGAGGAAAAACGAAGACCCAGTTTGTACTGCCTCAAATTGTAGTCTTAAACAGTATGATTTTCTTCCTCTAAAAAGTCCTGTTACTTAACTTATTTGGTACGACATGTAAGAAGCAACCTACGTAGGAGTTAAAGGATGTCCAAAGACAATGCTCCGAAAAGACTACTGTCTTTAGCTAATATATAAATCATACGACTCAGTAACAGTACATAATCCCATACCATGTTTTGACTCCCATATGCATATCCACTGTGGTAAGTGGAAGTTTGTTCTTAGTCATGCAAAGAAAAGTGTTTTAAAAGTCGTTTAAGAGAGTTGAAAGTAGTCGAAAAATGGGCAATATTTTTGATGTTGATAGAAGCCAAAGTAAATATGTAACTGGAGTATTCAGTTGTCTCTTCTAACTTGCTTCATTCTGGCTTTATAATCATCTTCATCTTATAACAAGTCTTTGCTAGCATCAGGAATGGTAACTGATACGCGGCAACTTTTTCAATAAAAAGGTAGCAGTATCTCGTATACAGAAATAATTGAGCGTATTGTGTAGGTACAATACCTCATTCTCACATTCAACGATTTGTAAACTACTTACTAATTCTAGTCGATGATATTGCTTCCCCTCATTCATACTATGTTAGTCAGTTATCTACAACGTAGGACCAGGCACGTATATGCATCGGTTCAAGTTGCCATACCGATACTATGCAAAATAATGAAAACTCAATGATAAAAATAAACTACTTGACTAGAGATGATGGCCAAACAACGATTCTGACCCTATCGGGAATTTTATTAATTAGCACTAACACGCTTGTTAGTGTTGAATCAGTATAATGAAGTCATTTACGTTCATCTGTTAATTTACGTTTTTGAAATTATATACCAGTACTAAATAATGATTAAGTTATGCAAATAAAATATGTCGACTATAGTACTAAAATTATCACGTGTTGTAATGCGAAGAGCGACTGTTCAGAAGAATAAGTGCAATAATATTTTTATTGAAAAAATTCTGCTTTTTGATTACAGGGATTTTATAAAGGAAGAGGTAATGCGTCAACAGCAGTGTAACACTTGTCATACAAATCACCATACTGTTCATCCCGTGTTATGAAAACGATAGGTATAGGGGTAACTGAAGATACACATGCACCGAGGTCAAACTTTGACGGAACATAGCAGTAAGGTATGTCGTGCTCCTCACACACCAATGGCACATGGGATATCAGATCAAACGGGCTAATATCACCAGCTAATACGACGATACCAGATACACCTTTCTTTTCAATGGCTTTTAAGATTGCTTTGATTCCGACATCTGTTTTCTTTACGCGTTTAGCTTTTCGAGCGAGTTTATACAAACGCTTTGTTAATTTTTTTGAAGCCATAGGCCGGGCGAATACACCTACACATTGTATTTGTTCCTCATAAGTACGTTCTGGACGGTTCTGATCGCCACTCAGATCACTGTTAATCTCAATTTCCATCATTGAAATATACAATGGTGTGTGACGGCAAGACAAACAACTCAGTCTATAAAAAGAAAACCTTTGATGAAAATTGAGTAGAAAACCACTTCTAAAAGAATACTTATTCTTTACACTTTTGAGTTATTGCTAATCATAATTTACTAGTCAGTGATAATCATTACTTGAACTATATTGCTCTTAAAAGTAAGAAAATGTTATATAATCCATTCTTAGTCTCGTAATATATACTTTTCCTGCTTTATTTGCAGTTTAGATATGCTTTGTGTCTAGAGAAATATTTATTTAATCTCTGACTAACTGAAATTCACTAGTCAAGTCTTCGGACTCGTCGCTAGATTGACTCAGAAAATCTACTTACATGATGACCTTGATATTTCCCCGATTACCTATTTCCTCATTTAAACATAAATATTGGTGCAATAGAGCACCGACAAGATATGCGCCGCACTTCATTCTAGTTGTACGAGGGCTGAGGTACTGCCCGGACGCCCAAACCGAACCAGTTGGTTTCTTTAGGTGACTACATCCAGAGCCTTCAACCTAAAGGTCTAACCCATAAGGCGGTGGAGCAAAGTTAGGAGATGCGGTCTCATAGTGGCCGGTGACTAACGATTGGTTCATACGCCATTTGTTCCTTCAGGATACTGGAGCCCATGTACACCATTGGTTTGGAATCTGAGTTTTCCAACCCCCTAGGTGGACCCTCTGCGTCCACCAATCCAGTTAAAGCGCCGGACATTCGCTTCTTGTTCTCTCACTTTTGTAAACAACACCGCCTCCATGAGAAGGCAGTGAGTGGGACTTCTCTGGGAGTGACTGTATATGCGTGACCATGTGAGAGCATTTGGAGAAGGAAAGCAGACTTTTCCCACCCTTGGGCATACCAGAGCGTTTGGGGGCATCCAGGACCTTTAGTCGTGCGCGAACGCCCAACCTTTAGACCAGTGAGACGGCATTCCACAATGCTAATATCTAACTACATTCAACTGTCCGATGTTCCCAGGTTTTCAATGATGGTCTTAGATCGTTTCACGGTTCCAATGAAATCGAACAATCTCCACGCCCACACATTGACGATCTCTTTGTTTCCGGCTACTGATATCGATTATAAATCTAAATTAGCAGTTTTAAAATAAATTACAGCATTTATGCGAAGTTTATTTTTATTTTTGCGAACAGTACAGCTGCAAGCGGCATAATTATTTACTGGTCGATTTGTTCACCTGTATTCTTCCTGCTACTTAGCGGAATGTTTGTTGGCACAAAATAACATAACTTACGTTGTATGTAACTTTGAATTTTTACCAAAGAACGTTATTATACGGTGACTCTGTGTTACTTTTACGAATCAGAGTGGGTAACAGTATACGAGACACTTGCCATCGTTAACCACTTAGCACGACTTAGTTTCACAGTCGGTGACTACATGGTTTTGCCATCGCTGTTCTTCCGTTCAGTGTACTCTTAACTCAGCCAATGTGCAAAATCGAGATAAGCAGTGACTAGACATATGTAGTATATGTTCTAGGCAATTCAGTCGAATAAGACTGACATTTTAACTAGCTGATTTTCCAAACTTGCCTAAAGCTTTACGCCTAACCTTAGAATTACTAACTCGGTTATTCCACCAGGTGCAAGGAATTGTTTGAAGATACTAACTTAATACTTGAAGTCTATATGTCCCTTATTCTATCAGGCTGTTTCTGATACTGAGTTAAAAATAAGAATGCTGACAATTTAAATATGACAGTGACCCACTTTAAAAATTAACTGAGATTTGGAAAAGACTGGCCATTATTTGTCTCAATACATTATTCTACTACGTTCTGACATATATTTAACTTTTGACATTTATTTGGTATAAATCCGTTTTATATCATGGTCATCTAATTGTGCTTAGTAATTACTGGGGAAAAAAAAGTATAAAAGGGATGCTACTTCTCCTTACAAGATATAGGTTTCGTTTAATTAATAGTTGGGGATCGAGTCGAGAATATTAAGATAATGTTAAAGAGTATCTGGGTGCGTTCAATAACTGCTTTCATTATTTGTAAACAACTTTCGAATGCGTAATAACGACCAAATTATAAGTTTCACAACCATCAGTCAGTTATAATCAATGTGGAGCCATAGGTTAATAGAAAAAGCTGCTGCGTCAACTGGCAGACGTCATCCATACCTCAAGTAGCGTGATTAAGTGCAAGTCAAAGAAACTTGCTGCATTAGTGCTAAGATATTATCTTTACCAGAATCTAATTGGATCCCAGAATATAATTATGCATTGCTAATCAGTGTTTATGAAATAGTATTTCGTCAAGGTTCTTGTCCAACAGAACCATACCAGCTTACCTAATAACAAATGTTTCCACAAGAAGAACCTGACTAGTTTAGGATACAAAAAACAGTCGTAATAAAAAAGGGAAGCCGAAATCATTAACTTCCCTCAATTTAATAAGGTGAACAGAAAAGTAGACAGGTACAAGTTACAGTGATGAAGAAATCGTTGATTGAGTATGAACTTAACCGTAAGATTCTCCGTTCCTTTTGATTTCCGTTACATGCATTTTATGGATATTTACTGATACAGAGTTTAATACCCCAGGTTTTACTGGTCGTAACTCGACCTTCACTGTAAGAGTTAGTTCTACTTAATAGGGATTTCTCATTGCAATCTTCGTTTCCGACATCTGATATACTTCAAATCGGAACCCACCTCGATGTCAACACGTTAGCTAGTCAACTATTGCGCCAAGTAGGTCGGCTGGTCAAGGTCGACATGGTCATTTAAAACAAGTGCTCAAATGGTCGTGGACGGAATAGAAGAAGCTTTCGCTTAACAGGCTTCCGTGTCTAGTAGCAGGGGATCACCAAATCCTCCAGGCAGGAACCTAGGTATGTTGACAAGAAAAGAAATTGGTAAATCATAGTGTGATGCTTTCCTTGGTTCTTAAGAATAGGTCAAGTTGCCTCTTGAAGGACTCCTGAGAAGTCGCTTGGACTAGCTCGGCCGGCAGCGAATTCCAGCATTTGACAACTCTTAAGGAGTAGAAGTTATGTCTACATTCCGTTTCGCTATGTTGTGTTTCCAGTTTCTGGGTGTTACCCCTTAGGCTATTGATCGAACCAAGCCTAAGTAGGTGTTTAAGAGGATGTCTAGAAGTGTTAATAATACTACAAGCCATTAATAAATCACCTCGAAGACGCCTATACTCTAATGGGTAAAGGTCTAGTGACTGTAGGTGTTCTTCGTAAGGTTTAGATTTGAGTCCTCGAACGGATTTCGTGGCACGGCGTTGGATACGCTCCAAAGTGACCTTGTCCTTTTGGAGTGAGGGAGGGAGTACTATGTTTCCGTACTCTAAATGGGGACGGATGAAACTATTGAAGATTGTATGGAAAGTTCTTCCGTCAAACTGGCCAAAAATGCGCCTCAACGTTACCAGTGCAAGGTTTGCTCGGAAGGCATTTTTGTCACAGTTAGCGTAAGACTTTAAGTCATGGGGCACCAGGACTCCTAAATATTTTTCGACTTGGGATACTACTAGAGAGGAGTTTCCTAAGTTGTAACTGTAGTTTGCAACATGTCGCAGATGGACTACTTTACACTTTGAAGTGTTAAAGGTAAGTCCGTTATCGTCAGCCCAACTTTGAAGTCGAGTCCGATCCTCCTGAAGTGCCTTCATATCGTCTTGGTTGCGTATCTCTCTCCAAAGTTTCACGTCGTCGGGTGTTTTTTGATTGAAATAGGTTTTATAGCATAATACCCAGTTGGTCAGTGAATAAACTAACAACTGACATAATCAGATATGGTAACTAATATCCGTAAGCACCGACGAAATTCAGCAAGTTTATTATCTAAATCTACACCTTTTGGACTTTTCGAGTTTGTACGCATGCCATTCGGGCTGAGGTACGCAGCATAAACATTCCAAAGATTCACGAATAACCTACTTCGAGACATGCGACTTACACAGTGGTATATAGACGATTTGCTGATTGCCAGTCCCGATATACAATCAGACGAACAGCATGTAAGAGCAGTGTTAAAACGGCCGGATGAAAGTGAAGTGACGATAAATCAAAGTGTGTTTTCGTTGTTCGAACCCTAGAATCTAAGGGCACATAATAAGCACAGAAGAGATTACACCAGTCAAAGAAAAAGTGAACACCATCCGACAATACTTCGTACCTACTTCTCTATCACAACTCAGAAGTTTCCTGGATCCAATTAAATTTCATCGCATATTAATGCCCGGTTGTGCACAATTAATGCAACTTTTGACATTCACTCAAAGGAAGACCGAAAGAATTCAAGCTGACTTCTTAGGCTGTTGAGGTTCTTAAAGCACTAAAATATAAACTGGCCCAAGCACCTTTGCTGATGTATCTAAATTACCTTTCCCCACTTTCTTAAACGGTAGATGTTTCGGACTAAGCGGTAGGCGGTAACCTTAACCTAGCGGTGAAGAACGCCTAAAAACTAATTGCTTTCTTCTCTAAAACACTCACTCCAGCAGAATCGAGGTATTCTTCCTCCGAAAAAGAACGGTTAAGCATTCCCGACACATTCTGGAAGGCAGAGGCTTCATAGTTTTTAGGGATTACAAACCACTAACCAATGCACCAAAAGTTAGAGCTGATAAATTCTAACCGCGAGAAGTCCGACACCTTGACTATATATCACAGTTCAAACAGACTAGTGTTAGCCAGGAACCAACGCTTGAGCTCAAAGCAGAGTTCACCTATAAGCACCTACCAAAAGTAACTGAGCTCAGACATATGAGGAGCTACGATTCCAATATACCAGCGTGACATTGTTTTTAAAGTAGGATAACAGCCGATAAACTGCAAAAAACGTATAATTCTTAATACATGACGGTTCGTTGCATGTTGGCTGAGACGAATTCGCAGTCGATGTTTCGTTCCGCACAATAATTTTTAATAGGTTATAATCCCAGCAGGTACCATCAACCAAATGCTTTATGCACGTTTTTGGCCGTTCTCGTCATTACATAGTCTTAAAGGAAGTAACTGACAATACCTGAAGGTGATTATTGCACGACATCAGATAAATTACATAGAAGGGGATCGAAGTCATAGGAAAACGTGAGCACAAAACGAGTCATGAGGTTTGTGAATTAGGTATGTATAAACGTTCCTTCATGTGTTGATATATGAGTTACCAATCATTATTCAGTTTGTCCTTTGTTCGAGCGTCATAAATAATTTGTGGTTCTATGGTAACTTATCCACTCCATCAGATTGTTCTATACATAGCTTAAGTAATTTATATCTCATAGGTTCAAACACTCTTTCTACATATACGTGGTGAGCAGTAGGGCGCTGTTTCTCCGGTTCTTTTATCAGATCAATCTATCCATTTTCTCAAGCCACATTTTTACCCTGTCACTTACTAGCTAAATAATCCTGACTTTTTCATATGATCGTATTTGTACTAATTACTTACCTTACTCATCACCTGTCTGTAGCCTAATTTTATCGGACTATAGATATTAATTCACGCATGGCCAAATTGAGTTAGCTATCATGTCTTCTGCAATCCAATTAGCCTCCTTCGCTCCGTTTCCCTGCTTGTATGTCCAAATTAACGATTGTATGAAATATACTCATTCAAAGTTCATTCTCGTATTTGACTTACTTAATTCCGTTATTCACTAACGCGGGTTAAGTCGATGATTATGTACGAGTATAGCCAGGATGTATAATTCGACAGAAATCATTCTATAGCAATCAGAAGCGATCTACCTGGGGTCAGATTAGAGGCAACAAAACGCTGTTTCTTCCTTTGCTGCAACCAAATAAGAATAAAGCGTAACGTACCCAAAGACGATATCCTAAATCACTTCGGCGACCGAAGTGCAACCTTTATGAAAACTCACATGGACATTGCGCATTTACTCTCCAGTGTATATAAAATTGGAATGTAACATTTGAGTGGTGTTGCGAAACATAATCGACTGTTCATATACTTTGCATATCAATTCGACCTAACTTCTGTTATTATGAAGTTTCCGATCGTATAAGGCTTACAGAATCGGAAGCTTTGTTGTGGAAACTGTTTATTACAAACGTAGCAGAAAACGAACGATCAGCAAGTGAGAAATCAGGGTGAAAAAAACAACTTTTTGAATTAATTAATATAAACTAGATGCAAACATCTAATAGCAGCGGAGTTATCAACGTCTCAAGCAACTAACATTTAGACTCGTTGAGAAAGTAAATATGTAGAATTATGGTCTACTATGATATTAGTACTGCTCTAATAATAGACCTAACCCTAAATTTGTAGATTTGTCATGATATAACTGCCTAATCTATAAGATCTTACGTGGAAGTCACACCATCGACTACACCAACTCACTGTATCGTATCAATTACCAATACATGATGTAGAACGAGGTTAGGCTAGAGAAAGAACAATATATTTAATATGAATAGAAGATATAAAGTAACATTGAGATGGACCACGCCTGCATGGTCGAGCCATGCCACTCGATCAACTCCAGTACATTCAATTCATTGTTCGCGCCTTCTCCATTGTTAGGTATTTCCCCAAGTTAAATATTGAATATCTATTTTCTGAGTAGTCTCGTGTTCACAGCTTTGTGGATTGTGTGGCTATTGTCCAATGCCACTACACTACTCTCCCACCAGAATCAACGTGATGTTGGTTCGATACCAAATTGGATGGGATCGTCGCGCGCCGGAGGTTACCAAGGATAATAAGGATCCTCCGGGTATTGATAAGCTGAAAGATAAATCAAAAAGAAGGCGGCAGCATCTGGTCGGGAAATACATGTAATAATCTTAAAATATCTGCTTTCATGCTTAAAACGCTTGAAATGAAAATTTGGGTGAAGATTATTTGAGCTATAAAAAATGGGGTTGCAGTAATAATTATAAAACAATGCGTGTTAATAGCCGTTGGTTAATAACTTGACGTATAGGTAGTAAGTATTTTGTGTTTAGAAATATTAAAATAATGAATATTGTAGAAATGTTAATATTGGTATTAGTTTTGGTTTAAATTATGAAATCAGATAACGATTATGCCGGTAAGTTGTCCATATGAATTGATTTCCGATTGCATCTGTATTAGTAGGCTAACTGAAGGAACAAAAGTATACCGTGGAGAAGAATTCCAACTAGAGTTCCAGTTAGTTTGATACGGTTTATTTAGTTACGGAGAGATTTTCTCAACCTCATTTTTACTTGACCGTGATAGAATTTAGTAATACTACTAATACACACGAATGGTTATCAAAATAAAATTTAAATACATGAGTGATAATTATATGGATTTCGGACAGATAGCTAGGAACAAATCGTTAAACATGAGTGTATTCGTAAGAGACATGCTCTAGACTCAATGTTCTGATCTGTGGCAGACTAGTTATTTATATTTATACTTGCCGGCTGATTGGGCATACAAGTTAGTTGCAAGTATGCAGTTTATCATAAGGCGGAATACGATTTAATTGAGATATAGTGGTTATAAGTTATTAAAATCAGTTAGGCTTATGTGTCATATTACTAAGTGATGTGGTGCTGCAAGATGTATTTGGCAAAATAAGTTTTTACAAGATGATTAATAGTGAGTGATGCTCATGTGATTATCAGGGAGAACATAAGTTGTAACCAAGGGGAGTACACTCCCAACTCATGTCTATGATAATGGCTTGAACCTTAGTCAGTGTTGGGGTAAATTCGACATTGATGTTTTCAGTTTGCAGGAGATTTGCTCGACTGCTTATACTGATTATTTGCATGCATGATTGTGTCGCTAAACCATCAATTAAACTGACAAGGTTTTGAAATATTTACTGAATGAGCAACTGAAGGAGAAACCTACTGTAATCATCTGTAGTGAATGAAGATAAACGAAAAACAACACTAGTGATAATGATAAGTCAATTTGTTGACCGATTTCGTTAATAGTTTCATTATTTTTATCAGTCATATTATGTGATTGTCAGGTCATGACAATGCTTTATGACGATATCCTGAAACTATTATGTTAAACTAGTTATAGTGTTGATTGAGGATAAGTCAGTGGAAAAATAGGTATTGTTGCTTGAGGTGATTCGAAATTATCAGAAATTTATAACGTTAAAGAATCCGAGATGCCCAATTATATTATAAATTTTAATTCAGAAGTATTCGTTTAGTGTTAGTTCTAATAGGCTACGGAGTTTTGATTTTAAACGTTTGTTTAGCCAACAGCCACCTAGGGATTTAGTTATTTTACTAGTGCAGTTGATAGTACCTAAATTTTTAATCCTATTATCTAAACTATGTTCGCATTTTAGGCTGCTAATACGATAAACCAATCCATAAACCCAAATACGATTAGCAACAACGACTATGATGGGTTTATTGATAAATGTTAAAGGCGATTCAGATGATTTCTAAATTTAGAAGACATGAAGATATAGTGCAACGCATGTAAGGGCCAGGTTAACAAGCAGGTTGTTGACGTATATGACAATTTAAAAATAATGAACACGACCAGACTGCTTATGAAACTTTAGGCAGGAATATGACGCGTTATAAACATTCCATAAGAAGTTACTGGATTTAGCCTAGGGACACTTACAAATATATAGCAAAAGGAACCGGAAAACATATACATGTCAAGTTAAAAAAATCATTAAATAAAATAGTTGAACTCGCCTGGATTATTTTTGAATATTAGATTATTCAGTGGACAACATATATAACGCCATTCGTGAGGAGTAGTAATGATCCAAAAGCATCCAGAATAAAACATGCAGTATGGCAATCACTTTCAGGGTGCTTGATGCTCTTGAGGTTTTTGGGACTCGCTCTGATCAGAACAACTGAATGAATCCAGATAATTGTGTGGTTGTTATTGAACGAGCCATCTAAAATGAACTTATGATTGCAGAAAACTTATAGCTGAAACTCACGGTATTTTTTTGGAGGTGGTCATCCTCGTTGTTTGGCAATGGAACTCGAGAATATGAAATTAGGCAGGCAGTGGTCGGAGGAAAAGATATTACAGGATAGTGCATCGTTTAAAAAAGGATGAGGTGTTAAGTGAAGGAACACTGAGAATTAGATCCAGATAACTATTTAGTCCTTGATCGCATTGTTAGTCAATGTATATTTACGCTATTTACAGATCATATTTGCTAGAGCTTGATGTTTAAACAAGACTATGTCGCTGAAGCATGTAAATGCTATTACAGCTTGTTAACAAACCATCGAAGCTAATTAGTTAATATAGACGATCAGTTTTTATTATCGATTGAGCTAGTTTGTCGTGAGGACTAATCAATATAACATTACGATAATGCATGTGAGCATTAATCAGAGGACTATTAGAATATAGGGTTAACATAAATATAAAATCGATCGAGAAAGTTGAAGTGGAAGTAAGGATTAATAATAATAGGTTGCGTTTCTTTAGTTGGGCTCACCAATGTAGAATTATGGTCTACTATGATATTAGTACTGCTCTAATAATAGACCTAACCCTAAATTTGTAGATTTGTCATGATATAACTGCCTAATCTATAAGATCTTACGTGGAAGTCACACCATCGACTACACCAACTCACTGTATCGTATCAATTACCAATACATGATGTAGAACGAGGTTAGGCTAGAGAAAGAACAATATATTTAATATGAATAGAAGATATAAAGTAACATTGAGATGGACCACGCCTGCATGGTCGAGCCATGCCACTCGATCAACTCCAGTACATTCAATTCATTGTTTGCGCCTTCTCCATTGTTAGGTATTTCCCCAAGTTAAATATTGAATATCTATTTTCTGAGTAGTCTCGTGTTCACAGCTTTGTGGATTGTGCGGTTATGGTCCAATACCACTACAAATACATGTGCTATCACATGTTGCCCGTCATACATGTTTTTACAAGCATGAAGACATATGTGTGAAAGGATATAAACACATTATTGCTGACAAAACTAGCTTTCGATTTCCTTCGAACAAGCAGGGTAGTTGGTCTAGTAAATTAAAGTGCCTTTATGTGGGGATGAGCGTTCCATAGTGATTCACACACAAGGATATCCACTTGGGTTCAATTCCAGTAGACCCCCTGAGAGCGACACATGT